CCCCAGAAACCTGCTTTCAGCAGTCAGAGCTGGAGCTAGCAGGACTGCAACACTGTTGCAATTATAGAACCCAAACAAACACTAGATTCCAGCTTTCAGCAGCTGAGGCCTCAAGCTGGAGCCGGCCTCAGAGCTAAAGCTGGCTCTCAGCTCCAGTGACAGCCATAGAAGGTAAATAAATCCCAGAATTAAAAAAAAGAAAGAAAAAGAGGAGAGGTTGGGAACTTCAGTTGCCCGCCAGCCTGAAAACGGCCCTTAGCCACTCACCCAGACGGGCCAGGCATCGGTGGTCAGGGCGCTCTCACATGGGAGGAGCTCTGCTCAGCCACAAGCCAGGCTGATGGCTGCCAGTATAGCGGTGGTGGGGGGAGCCTCTCCTGCCTCCTCAGCAGCTCTAAAGATGTCCGACTGCAGTTTAGTCCTGCTTCCCACTGGAAAGTGGACATCGCCTGAGGGCTGCCGGACTGCCAGAGGGATGTCTGATTGACATCTTAGGCCCAATCCCCCCGGGGAGCGGGCCTAAGCCAGCAGGTGGTCATCCCCTGAGGGGTCCCAGACTGGGAGAGGGCACAGGCCGGGCTGAAGCATCCCCCCCCTCCCCCGAGTGCACAAATTTTTGTGCACAGGGCCCCTAATATATAATAAAAGGCTAATATGCAAATTGACCCAACAGCAGAACGACCGGTCACTATGATGTGCAACGACCACCAGGGGGCAGATGCTCAATGCAGGAGCTGCCCCCTGGTGGTCAGTGTGCCAGAAGCTGGGCTCATGGCTGGTGAGCACAGCGGCAATGCCAGGAACCTCTCTCTCTTCCCTGGCAGTGGGACATCCCCCGAGGGCTCCTGGACTACGAGAGGGCGCAGGCTGCTGAGGGCCTGCCCTGAGTGCATGAATTTAGTGCATTGGGCCTCTAGTTACTTTATAACCATTAGCATCAGCTCCTGGTTTTCTAACTTGTTCATGAAAATGCAGCAAGAACCATTTTCAAAATGACGTGCTGAAATCTGAAACCAGCAAATCTATGTCATTTCATGGGTCAACCACACCAGTAATCTTATGCAAACTGCTCTGTAATCTTGGGCCAATCCTGACCTCTCTGGGCCTCAGATGCCAGTCTCACTACTATTTATCAAGAGCTTTCCTAAGTGTCAGGTTACTGTGCCCAGCACAGTACACACCTCACCTCACTTAATCCTCTCAGTAAAACCACTAAATCTCACTTTCCACATGAGAAAATTATAGTTCAGAGAGGGCAAGGGGCTTGCCCAAGGTCACACAGCATGTGAACAGCAGGACTCTAAGAGGAACCTAGGTGGCAATACTGAGTGCAGGAGTGCATCTCCCCATGCTGTTACCTGTATTTGTTCTTCTTCCTTGGGGTGAGGGTCGGGGTACTGCCCCTGGAGGAGGTGGTCTCACAGCTCCCATTGGCCCCCAAAGCCCGTGGAGCCTCTCTGCCCACTCCTTTGGGTCTGTTGGCCTTCTCCACCCAGGGTGGGTCAAAGTCTGGCGGCGTGGGCCGGGCGCCTGAAGGGCTGCCAAACAAAGTCTCATCCACGTACGATGCCCTGGCCTTGACCTGATAGCCGCCCCTGCAGCGGTGCTGACGGTGGAGGGTCTGCATCCCACTGATGGCCAGCTCCACAGGGGTCTTCATGCTGCCCGTGGTGCCAGGTGACCGCAGGCATGCTCTGCCCACCAGGCCATGCCTCCAGAGCTCCCTGTGAAAGGGGTCAGGGTGCCATCCCTCTGTCATCGGCAGTGTCATCAGGGAAAGACTGGCAGTCTCTTAAGTCCCCATCCCAAGGGCAAAAGGGTCAAGCAGACCTCTCCGCAAAGGCGAACTGCCAACCTCAGGGGACATTTCGGAAATCTGTTGGACTTTTTTTTAGCTGTCACAATGACGGGGAGAGGGGTGCTACAGGCACATTTTTAATGAATATGCATTCCTAGCATACAGTGTGCACTCGATGAATATTTACAGACTGCTAGAGGGATGAAGGAGAGATGGGGCTTGTGTCCATTTTGGCACCAACCACAAAACAAATTATGGTGGGAGGGGAAGACAGGGCAGGTCTGAATCCTGTATATATTTACGGGGCAGGAAAGAACCGGTCACTCTCACTCCTACCTCCTGCAAACCGCTCTGGAAGTGCTGTCTCACTGAATCCTCTCATCAGTTCTGTGAAGCAGCTTTATGTCTACAGGCGACAAAACTGAGGCTCCAAAAGGTGACGTCACAAGTGCCAGTCACACCTATAAAGCTAAAACAGAGGAAGCGAAATGTGAACCTGGCAGCAGTGCAGAGCTTGTGCACGTAACCATTCTACATAGGGGGGTCACGCCCCTCAAATGCCCCACATGCTCCACCCCCAAATCAGTGTCTGGGTTGATGTCCCAGGATCCTGCATTCTTTTTTTTAAAAAAAATTTTATCTTTATTGTTGAAAGTATTACAACAATACTTACCCCCGGCCCAAGGCCTTCACCGCCCCCCCCTTCCCCAGCCCCAAGGCCTTTACCGCACTATCGTCTGTGTCCGTGTGTGATGCGACCCTGCATTCTTGAGTTTTTCTCTCCTGAGTATCCTGGCTCCTGGACGTCGGCTGCAACCCTCAGTACCCCTCTCCACGCGGGATGGACTCTTCTGTGGGGACCCCGGAATCCTGGAACCCCGGCCGCCCAGGTCCTGCCCCAGGTACCGCGCGGACCGACTCCCGGGGACAGCCGGGCCCTAGCGACGTGTGCTCCGCGCGTCCATCAACA